GGGGCAATACGGGTCGTGGTTGGTGTTTGTCGCCGATGTCGGCCTCTTGGAGCCGATGTGGAGTTGATCCAAGATGGACAAACATAGATCAGGATTGGAACTGGGGGGAGGGGTCTGGGGACCGATGTTGTGCTGACATCAGGGATGTGGCAGATGCGTGAGACGTGACGGGCACACGCAAAAGAAGAATGATGAAGGTGGATCAGCAGGGGGGGTGGAGAAGGGGTCGGGTCGGGTCGGGTGGCGGACGGGCCCGCCTGAGCTGCCGCGCTGTCTACCGCACAGCGAGCCGCCTCCAAACAGTCCGTCCACTTTGCCTGCTGGGGTTCCGCTGTTGCCAGGCTCAGCGGCTTTTCCATCCACCTGGCTTCCATTGCTGGCTGAAGCTCCCGGCCTGGTGGCTGGCCCAACCCTTCAGGCCGCGGGCCCCGCTGTCTTCCAGGGCGGGGGCGGGGACTCTCGTGGTCTCCTTCGCCGTGCCCCGCCCGGCCTCGCTCGGCCTCGGCAGGCCCGTGCGACGCATCGCCGCTGCCTCGTCGTCCTCTATGGCGATCCTGGCGGCGAAGTCGCCCTCTCTCGGGGGCCGGCTTGAGCGTCAGCCTGGGGGAGCGTCTTCCATGTTCTGCGCCTCCAGATGCGCGGCCCGTTGGCGACGGCTCGCCCTCGTCCGAGGACGACGGCTGCCCGCTGGGGCTTTCCTCGGAGCTCTCCTCGGCCGTCGGCGACCTCCACGGATCCCGCCGCCGAGGGGCCTCCTGTCCTGCGCCCTCCTCCTTGGCCGGTGCTTGCCCCGTCGTCGCGCTCGCCGCCTCCGTCGACTGGAGGGTGAACGTGGGGGTCGGGCGCAGGGTCCCGGCAAGGGTGTCTTTTTGGGCCACGCAAGGGCGATACATCCTCGATTGCTGTATTCGGCGGGGGATTTAATTGAAGCTCCCCGCCTGCGCCCATGCGCGAGACTTGAGGGTAAACGGAGCAAGGGGGCCGGGGGTTCGGGAAATGCGACGAAGGCACCGTGCGCTGAGGGCGCAACAAAAACTGGTAATAAACGAAAGCGATGAGGTGAGTGTCAAAATGTGCCCACCCAATCTGACGTGCGGAACACTGCGCCTCAGTTTTGGGGATCCTAAAGGCCAGGGCAAAATGTGAAAGCACATTGTGGGGAAAAGCAACATGTGAATTCACATTTTGGGAGAAAAGAAATGTAAATTCACAGTTGGGAAAAAAGGAGCATGTGAATTCACATGTTGGAATTATGTGTAGGAATCGTTTTGACAGGGGCTAGAATGTTAATTCACATGTGGGGAAAACGGAAAATGTGAATCCACATTTTGGGAGAATCGCGGGTCCCATTTCAAATCTGTCTTGGGGATCGACAAGTCATCGTTGGGGAACATACGCGAATATCAATCGCACAATCAAGACACACTTGCCTTCCACTTCGCCGCCCCACTCGCAATATGCAAGAACGCCCACACGCATGAACGATAATGGATGGGCGGAACGTTTGCCCGCGCGGGCAGCGCGCGGGCACGAACGACTGGCCCTCCATGATCGCCAATATTGGATGCCAATCATACCCGATCACATACATGAGCGTTGCATTGAGCATACATGGGCCATTCAGCCCCCATGGAAGACCCCCTGGTGCCGGAGTCGAGTCGCTGCCCGAGCCAGACTCCTCCGACGAGAGTTTCTTTCGCTCGGAGTCCTGGGCCAGCCGCCTCCTTGCCTCGGAAGGCGGGTCCTGCTTCGCCGCCTCCGCAGGCACACGCGGGAAGCCCCCCGGTGCCCGCGCACGTGGCCCCGTGGCTCCGCGGGCAGCTCCAGAGCTGGAGCTACCTGGCAGCCCTCCGCCAGCGAAGTCGGGGCCAGAGGGGCCGTGGTCTTCGGCTTGCGCGGGGAGCCCACCTCCGCCCGCGCGCGTGCCTCCACCGGCGCCTCTCCCTGCTGCGGCAGCGGGCGCTCCTGGGCCTCGCGCGGGGAACTTTCGGGGGCCCGCGCGCGAGAGTCCGGCTCCGCCGTGTGCCCGCGGGACCCCGGCAGTTTCTGCGCAACCTCGTCCACCTGCTGCCTCGCCTCGACGACGTCCTTCCACCCACAAGTCGGCTTTCGCCGTCGCGACCGGCTCCCGGACGTCGCGCCTCAGCACTGACCCGATGTCCTTCGTTGGGCGGCTGTCATGCCATGTCGATGGTGGGGGTGGAGAGGGGGGGGGAACGGCGGTGGAGAAAAATGTGGAGGAGAGGGGGATGGCTCTGGAGGAGGATGGGGGAGGGAGAGAAGGAGCGGAATGGCCACGAAACGCTCGGGGAGCGGGAAGAGGAAGACGACGAGGAAATAATCGGAGGAGACGAGAAAGAGCGAAAGAGACAGAGGGAGAGATAACGATGATGATGATGATATGTCCAGGTGTAAGTGGACGTTGAAGGAGTATTCAAGATTATGTGTAATTAAAAGCGAAGAAGATGATACAAGGGGGGTGGAGGACGGGGAGGAGGCA